CTGTCCACACCACAACTGTCTCCAACCAAGATGCAGCAAAGAAAAAGCAGACACCACAAGCAGAGTGGGCCCGGTTCCAGATTCTCCTCGCTGAGATCCAAGCAACTTCGAGCCAGAGAGAACTTGGATGGCACCTGACTTTAACCTGCACATTTTTATAGTTCATCACCGCAGGAGCGGACTGACAACTCATGGGGCCCCCGGGCAATAGAGGATCATGGGGCCCCTGTGTCCTTGGCCACACTCAAAGCACACCCAAAAAAGCCGATAAAAAGGTACCAGGAGCATTTCAAGGGGCCCCCTACTGACCCTGGGCCCTCGGGCAGTGCCCGAGTGCTCGAATGGTCAATCCACCCCTGAATCACCGTCATCTTCATCTTTACAACTTGCTTTGGTTACAGATAACCCATGGTGGAGGAGGGGGGGGGGGGGTCGGGATGCTTCTGTACTCCCTCCCTCCAATGCTCCTTCATTTAGAAACACCCACTCCTTAGAAAGTTTCTGGGTTCTGTATTTAATAGAGCTCCATGGGAAGTGTAATCTGAGGGATATACTAGTAATTCATTTTCTTACAAATACGATCACCCTTGATATCATCCCTCTTACAAGATGACATTTGTTTGGACTATAGACAGTCCTCACAACTTTGGTGGAAACGAGATATGGCCAATGCTACAACCTTTTCTTATTGTTTTGCTTTTTCCAACATTAAGGATACTAAGAACTTTAGATCAGTTCATATGACAAATGTATATTGGTTCACTGTTCTCAGGGTAAAAACATACCTCTATAGCTCTACCCCACTGTTACCTAATAATTGCTATTGTTTATAAGTACTAATGGCTCTGATTGCAAGTCTCCCCAAACTTGCACTCATATTGTATTTTGATACAATAGCTGTTTTCACCATAATAACTATTTGTTATTTTCGTTTATCTCTTGAACTGCGGCTTCTTACACTCCATAGTTCCTCCCACTAACCCCTACATTTAGCAGAGTATCTTTTTGAACCTCTTTATCATGCTCCCTAAATAAAAATCTACTTCTGCTGACACCCTTGTAACCTTAAGATACAGAATTTACGTCTTTTGTTTCTTCCTCTTTATAAAGCATCGTAGGTTAGTGATAGCTACTAATCTTCTCTTCTCTATCTCTTAGTAAAAGTCTAATACCTATATCATAAACAGTACTTGCACTACATTGGCATGGCATATTCATCACTAGGAAAAAAACCTCTGATTATTCCACATAATGTTAGCGGTCTGAATGTATTTGAGAAAAGATCTCAACTCTTATGCGAGCTTGATAAAATTAGACCCTCAATAGTGTTTCTGCAAGAAACTAATTTTAAAACTGGACATACCCCTAAACTATCCAGCAGATACTTTACAAAAACATACCACTCGACTAATGACCTGGCTAAGACTAATGGGATCTCTATATTGAACAGCAAAGAAGCAAATATATATCGATAAAAAGGGACATTTAACCTCCCTGGAGGTATTCCCGAGTGTAGCTCGGGGTAAAGTGTCAGCACCACAAGCAGTAACCCCGAGCTACACTCCGGAATACCTTGCAGTGTTGCTTCGGGATCTCTTCTGCACTTACCTTGTCCTGCGCTCCCGCCATGTCCTCCTTGCAGTGTCCCCGGCAATGTCCTCCGGCAGATGGCAGCATCTGTCTTCTGGGTTCTGTTCCCTGCGACGTCAGGATGTACGGGGATGGAACTGGCGGTAAATTTTAAAATTTAAAAAAAAAAAGTGACATTCACTAAAATCACATAGTATAACATTACTGTATCAAACCATTTCACATACATTTTGTCCCTAGTGCTTTGTCCTGTCCCCTGCCTGCATGTTTACTGTTCTTTCTGCCTGGAAACTGAGAAAAGTCCATGGCGTCCAAAAAGCGTCCCTTTAGGTCAAAAGCGGTTTTAGACCAGCTAGAGAACAGCGATAGTAAATTAGAACCACTTGCAGAATTGAGTGATAATGATTCGTGGGGAAATTCATCATCAGACACTGAAAACAATTTTGCGACTTTGCTTAGTGATGTGCGAACTGGTGCTCTATTTCAAATTTCAGTGTTTTTGCTTTGATTATATTATTGAATTTAATTTATTATTATATTATTATTTGTTATGATTGTTTATTAAATTATAATGTATGATTTTGTGTTTCAAATTTTAACATACCTGGAATGTTTACTAGACTCTTGTTCAGACAGATTTCAGTGAGTTATTCCTAAAAATTACAGGCCTACAATTAAAAAAATACATATTTCCATGCAAAAAAATGTACCGCTTAGAGCACAGAAATATGGACATAATCAGACCGCTAGGGAGGCTACTAGATCCCGAGGGAAGATACATCTTCTTGAAGGGCTCCTGGGTAGGCAAATCAATCACTTTGGCTAATGTCTACTTTCCTAACTCAGCACACATTTCCTTCTGCTAAAACATTATTGAAGAATCAAAAGTTTTTGCATCTGCTTGCCTGATTTTGGGAGGAGACTTCAACATCGCCTTTAACCCTCTTCAAGACACATCCACAGGGAAGACCTGTATCGCTTATAAGATTCTTAAAAAAGTTAAACTTCTTCTAAGGTCTTTATCATTGACAGATACTTTGAGGAAATTAAACCCAACGGGCAAGGACTACACTTGCTATTCCCCACCACACAATAGGTACGAGGATAGATTATTTTTTAATCTCACAAAGGGACCTCCCTATTCTTACTAACGCAAAAATCAGGATACAATCCCTCTCAGATCATGCTCCAATCTCACTCAATATGACATTCCTAGAACAGACAGACAAAACATACAACTGGAGACTCAACCCTGCTTTGCTCACTGACTTGTAAATTTTGAATAGTATCAAGTTTCAAGTATCAAGTTATTTTGAATAGTATCGAAGATGTATTTCGACACCATCACGACAAAGGACACCCCTCAGCTTACAGTGTGGAAAGCACATAAATGCGTTGTTCATAGCGAGTTCATAGCGAGGTGCTAAATGGAAATAAAAACAAGATAGAAAGATTGGGGACATTTCCAGGGTTATAGCAGACCTTGAATCCCAACATAAATTCTCCCTGTCCTCGGCTCTGGAGGAAAAACTAGTTAAGGCAAAGCATGAATTACAGTCCATCCTTGATATTAGATATAAACGTTCCCTATTCTTTAAAAAACAAATTTATTATAAGGGTGCAAACAAAAGTGGACGATTCTTCACCAAGGCCCTGATGGAGGCTAGATTTAACGAGAATATATATGGTATTAAAAACACAAAAGACAACCTAGAACATGACAACAAATCGATTACTTCCATCTTTCATCAATACTATACCAACTTATATAACTTGCCTCCACAACACACTCCTAAAGACCTTAAGAGTGAGAAAATAGATTTAATTAATGATTTCCTCAAAAAAATCTAATTACCACCACTTAAAATATCTGATGCCAAACACTTAGAGAATCCTATAGAAGAAACAGAACTTGTATCCTATAGAAGAAATAGATTCTAATGCCGCATTGGACTTGCTTCGTGATAGATCCAAGCGTTCTTCAGCCCAACAATGACACCTGTCCAAGATTTGTACAGAAATAAAAAAACATGCAAAATACGTGTGCAAAAGGTGTCAATGCATTAAAGTGTTTGTTTACCAATGCCAAAAGTCTGCCAAGCAAAATAGGCGACTTGGAAGCTTTGGTGCATGAAGAGAACTATGATGTAATTGGTGATGAGGCTGAAACATTATTTATTTATTTCAGGTACTTCTATAGCGCTGTCAATTTATGCAGTGCTTTACATACATGTATTGTACATTCACATCAGTCCCTAACCCTCAAGGGGGGTACAATCTAAGGTCCCTAACTCACATTCACATACTAGGGACAATTTAGACAGGATCCAATTAACCTACCAGCATGTCTTTGGAGTGTGGGAAGAAACCGGAGTACCCAGAGGAAACCCACACAGGCACAGAGAGAACATGCAAACTCCAGGCAGATGGTGCCGTGGCTGGGATTGAGAACCAATGACCCTAGTACTTCCAGGCGGAAGTGCTAACCATTTAGCCACTGTGCGGCACATTATGGGTGGAACTGCACATGGGGTGCGTACACAAAGGTAATCGTTGGAGTTTGTTATAGGCCACCCAGTATTAATGAGGAGGTGGAGACTCAGCTCCTTGCACATATTGATACGGCTGCAAGGGCTGGGACAGTAATAATAATGAGGGAGTTTAACTGCCCGGAAATTGACTGGAGTAATGGCACTGCAGGAACAGTTAAAGGGCAAAAAATGTATAAACCTACTACAGGACAATTTTATGGTACAGTTTATAGAGACCCCAATTAAGAATGATGCTCTGCTGGACCTGATAGCCTCAAACCATGCATATTACTAATGTCCATATAAAAGAACATCTGGGTAGCAGTGGCCATAACATGACTTAATTTATTATTAGCTGTAAACAACAAGCACATACAAGAAAAATGAAAACACTCAACTTTAAGAGAGCTAATTTTCCAAGGCTGAAGGCTGCTCTCCAAGACTTAGACTGGGAGAGCATTGACGAACAGAACACAGAAATGGGAGTTCTTCAAAAAGACTGTATGTGAACACAATGCAAAATATATTCCCATGGGAAACAAGTTTGAAAGGCTAAAAATGAAACCTATGTGGCTATAAAAAGCTATAAATAATAAGAAAAGAGCTTTCATAACATATAAAAATGAAGGAATGCTATCATCGTTTAAACATTACAAAAAATATAACAGAATATGTAAAAAGGAAATCAAGGCCGCAAAAATTGAAAACGAACGACAGATTGCAAAAGATAGCAGGACAAACCCCCCAAAAAGTTCTTCAAATATATTAACCGCCTCCCGCCCGCCATATAGTAATATGATGGATGCAAGGTGGTTCTCTCGTTCTGGGAGGACGTCATATGACGTCCTCCCATTCTAATCGCGCATACACGGCTCCCGGAGCGCGCAGCATGGCGATCGGTGGTGCGCTGTGTCCCTTGGACACAGCGGATCACCGATCCACGGAAAGAGCCGAAGAATCCAATCACAGCTGATCACATGTAATCAGGTTATTGGCATTTCTCTCCCCACGAGGTGTCAAGCTGACAGCTCCTGAGGAGAGGAGAGCCGGTAATCGGCATTCCTCGGAGGGGACATGTACACTGATCATCAGAGCACTGATGATCAGTGTGCCCTGGTGATCTGTGTAGCCCCAGCAGTGCCACCTGTCAGTGTCCATAAGTGCCAGCTCTCAGTACCCATCCATGCCACCTGCCAGTGGCCATCAGTGCCACATTTCAGTGCCCATCAGTGCCACATCAATGCCACATATCAGTGCCCATCTGAGCTGCCTTTCAGTGTCACCCATCAGTTCCAGTCAGTGCCACCTATCAAAGCCAGTCAGTGTCACCTATCAGTGCTGCCAATCAGTGCCGCCTATCAGTGCCAGTCAGTGCCGCCTATCAGTGCCAGTCAGTGTCGCCTATCAGCGTGCATCAGTGCTGCCTATCAGTGCCCGTCAATGCTGCCTATCAGTGCCGCCTAAAAGTGCCAGGCAGTGCCACCTAACAGTGCCAGTCAGTGCCACCTATCAGTGCCACCTATCAGTGCTGCATATCAGTGCCATATATGAGTGCTGCCTTTCAGTGCCCATCAGTGATGCCTCTCAATGCCCATCAGTGCCACCTACCAGTGCCTCCTCATCAGTGCCCATCAGTGCCACCTATCAGTGTCCATCAGTGCAGCCTATCAGTGCCCATCACTGCAGCCTCATTAGCGCACATCAGTGAAGGAGAAAAATCACTTATTTACAAAATGTTATAACAAAAACCAAGAAAAAACTTTTTTTTTTCAAAATTTACAGTGGTTTTTGGTTTGTTTAATAAAGCTCTGTCACAAAAAAATAATAAAAATGTCATATGGGTACAGTATTGCATGACTGTGCAATTGTCATTCAAAGTGTAACAGCGCTGAAAGTTGGAAATTGGCCTGGGCAGGAAGGGGGTATAAGTGCCTTGTAGGCTACTGGTTAATAGTAAAAAGGTCCGGACCGAGCATGTAGGCCCTTTACAAAATAATCTAGAGTGGGTGAACAGGGACAAGGAGAAGGCAAATTTATTAAATACCTTCTTCGGCTCTGTGTATACAAAGGGACATGGGGGAGCTCTTGTCCATATGTAAGATAAAGTCTAAAGGCTTGGAAAAATTAGTATGTAAATGGATGAGAAAACTGACTAAAGGATGGTATTTAGAGAGTAGTGGTTAATGATTCATACTCTGAATGGTCTAGGGTTGTTAGTGGTGTACCCCAAAATTCAGTGTTGGGAACCCTTACTTTTTAGTATATTTATAAATGATATAGGGTCTGGGATTAAAAATACCTTTTCAGTCTTTGCAGATGAGATCAAGCTTTGCAGTGGAATAACGTACTTGCAGGATGTCTCTAAATTACAAGCTGACCTAAACGCTGTTTAATTGGGCAACTCTGTGGCAAATGAAGTTTAATATTGATAAATGTGAAGTTATGCACTTGGGGGCTAAAATATCAATGCATCCCACATACTAGGGGGGAGTACAACTGGGGGAATCAATGGTGGAGAAGATCTGGGAGTTCTGGTAGATCATAAACTTAACACCTTCCCAACCGGCCTATAGCAGGTTCACAGCTGGGCAGGACACTCCTCGTTGTGACTGGGCATCATATGATGTCCTGTCAAAAGGAGGCACTCACGGGGCCGCAGGGCCACACAGTGGCGCAATCTGTCATCGGCTGTGTCCACGGGAGAGCGATATCATTTTAACCCTGTACAAATCATTAGCAACACCTCATCTGGAATATGCAGTTCAGTTTTGGGCACCAATTCACAAAAAGAATATTGAAGAATTGGAGAAAGTGCAGAGAAGGGCGACCAGACTGATAAGTCACGTGTCTAGCGTGGCGCAATGCGTCGGTACGCTAGGAGGATTCTGGGAGAGCGGTGATGTCATTTCTGGCGTGGCCGCCATATTTGAAACGCCTATATTTAATACCCATGCAAGGCGTTCATAGCATGAGGTAGAAGAGCCATGTAAAAGATGAACTAACATGTGAGTGGGAATTTTTTGTATAAAGTTTACTCAATAAATTGCGGTTTTACAGTATGAGAGCTTTCTGTTTATACTGTATATGAACTGGAGAGGAAGCTGCTGACAGAGTACATCTCTGGGGAGGGTCCTGGGATACATCTGAGTGGTGTTTTATCTTAAGGCGAGCTGGCCCTGTAGGGTCAATGTAAGGAGGTGAGGGGCCACTGTAGCCATTTTCTGGATATACACAGTGTGAACACTTGTTATCACTTGCATGAATATTTCATACTGGACACTATATTTATATGGACTTGTTTATAATGATTGGTGATTTATATTAGATTGATTTGTTGATAGATTGATTGTTGTGATCACTTTGTCACTTTAATTATTCCCGTGGGGAATACACGTGTTGCACTTTATTTAATTTTATTTGCACGGCTGCACTTATATATTGTATATGTTAATTAATTTTGCAATTGTATTTATTTATTTATCTTTAGATTTATGATTTAGCGCTGCACTGTTTATTATTTATCAGACTGATAAGAGGCTCAGCTATGAGGAAAGATTAGAGGAACTGAATGTTTCTCTCCTTCAAGAGTTGGTTCTAACCAGCTCAGTAGATTGCTTTAAAAAAGGCCTGGATTCTTTCCTAGTTACATAACTGGATACTAACATTTATAGGTAAAGTTGATCCAGGGAATATCCAATAGCCCCTCGAGGGATCAGGAAGGAATTTTTTTCTTCTACAGGAGCAAATTGGACCATGCTTTGCTGGTTTTTTGCCTTCCTCTGCATCAACTGTGGTTATAGGATTATAATTTTTTTTTATGGTTGAAGTAGATGGATGTTTGTCTTTTTTCAGCCAGACTAACTATGTAACTATGTAAGATAGGAAAAAAACTACCTAAAATGTTATTTTATCATGACCTTGTGGACATTTGGAGAGAATTGAATCCATCCAAGAAAGTCTACACATTTTACACCCATGTCCACAATACCTACCCCCACATTGACCACCTCTTTACTTCTCCATCTAATATTTCAATGTTTCATTCTGGCAGAATCTCTGTTGTTTCTTGGTCAGATCATTGGGCTCTCTTGGCAACCTGTGACACCCTATGTCGATGCTACAGTCAATTCTAATGGAGGCTGAATAATTCCCTCCACAGCAATCCCTCCATGTGCGTTTATATGGAATACCACATGAAAGATTTTATTTGCGCAACATTACCCAATAGACACTGCCCCAGTAATCAACTTGGGTTGATGCACGCTTTAAAAAAATATTCAGAATCTCTTATTAAACAAAAGAACATGACCTATTAGATTTGATGTCCACACATAAACAAAGCCTGCAGACAGATTTAAGATATAAAATTGATTCTGCTAGGATGGAACTTAATTTATGTTTGACAACTAAGGTGGAAAAGAGTCTCCACAGGCTGACCACCTGGGTGCACTACTGGCTTGAAAAACTAATCCTCAACCTCTACATTCAGCTGTCCTGAATCTCTGAAGGGCTGATGGCTCCTTTCCTCAAAATCCAGAGTTGGTTTTAAACCTTCTTTATTTGTACTATTCTATAGGGCCACCGAGAGCGTAGTGACAGACAAAATAGATGACTTTCTAGTGTATCTTACACTCCATTATCATCCATTTCAACAGCCCATAAGAATATTCTGAAAAGGCAAATCATGGGGGAAAAAATCTCCATTTGATTAAACAGGCCAATGCATCTAAAACTCAAAGCCCAGTTGGTTTTTCAGCCTCTTAATATAAAAAAAAATATGCTGTGCTTCTTATACCTCTGCTACAGACATTTTTTATTGCCCTCCAGAAATACATGCCCCTTGAAGCTGATTATAACAGAGCACACATTTGCTTTATACCTAAACAAGACAATGTAGAAAAAACTGTTGACCAATGTCACTATTCAATTGCAACTTGAAAGTACTAAAGAAAATTTGCACCAACAGACTTAACAAATTATTTGACTGTTACACGTGGATTAGGTCAGATTTTTACCAAGGCAGCAGAAGGTGGATCAGATTAGGAGAGCGCTAAATCTCATTCCACTCTCATGTTTTGATGGAACTGGGAACATACAAGGGATGTTCTTGTCATTATATTCCCATAAGACTTTTGACTCCCTGTCCTTGTCCTATCGTTTCCATATCCTATCGAAATGGAACTTTATTCCTAAGTTTCTTACCATATTACACACCATATATTTGAATCCTACTGCAAATATTACCATGCATGGCTACCAATCAGACATTATTTACATACAGATAGGCACCAAGCAGGGATGCCTCCTGTTACTATTGCTGTTCGTTATCACTATCGAGACATTCGTAATAGAGATCAGAACTAACCCTAATAGTCATGGTATTCAAAGCATGCATGCAAGTCACAAGAGCGCTCATTTTGCAGATGATCTGTTTATGTATAGAACATCTCCAATCACAATTTTCCTGATCTATTTAAGGGTTAACTAACTTGGGTCTTTGCGTAAATCAGGGAAAATTAAAAGTGCTTAAATTATCCTCTCCAATGCTGTTCTGATGTTTATCAAGACACCTTTTCCCTTTGCATGATGTATATGAGCTCTCTTATATCTGGGCATAAAGCTCACTTTGGACGTATATTTGTTACATTAGTTTATGATTTAAAAGATAAACCCAACATCTCATTCTTTACTTCTTTCTAGCCCCTAAAATATCTATTGTGAAAGCAACTTCAGTGGTCAATATAGCTGTGACTAAAGATAAACTTTCTTGGATAATGCTCCATGAAACGTTGGCTAAAATTCTTTAAGACAAACTTGACTTGAAAAAAGCTGGAACCCCTGGATAAATTATTTCCATTCCTTTATCAGTCAGGTGCCAGGTTTTACAACTTTCTTCATGTTTTCTCTCTTTCTTCTACTTCAGCTTTTAAATCCCTCTTTTTACTCTTTTGTTCTCACTTCCTCTCTCTCCCCCCACCCTTCTCTCCTCTTCCCCCACCCTTCTCTCCTTTTCCCTTTCTGTTTCACCCATATGGAATGCTGATATATGTTCCTTATTCAAGGATCATTACCTTTGTAGATCTTGGCCAACTATTCACTGCGGTGTTGCAAGTTGTAGATATTTTTCACCAACTGCCTTAAATGAGGACAGCCTAAAAGAGAACACATATCTTGTCTGTGAATGTAAGCTTGATAGTGATTATATTTCTGTTTGATTGTTACCTTACTGTTGTTCCATCTCTGCACTTTCTTCTTTTTAATGGCCATTGCTCCCTGTGATGGATACAGTTGAATTTTGATTGTTGATCTTGAAGCTTATCTGTACCTGCATTTTATTTTAAACTTCAATAAAAATATTGAACAGAAAAAAACCCTTTGAGTCAGTATGGTTTTTCAGGAGGTACCTCATGCAAAAAAAAAAGAAAAATGTGTGTGGTCCC